AGATCTTCTAATCGGTCATTGATCCGGTTCAAGACACAACTTTGAGGACTTTGGAAATAATGCAAAGTAGGGAGATCGGCCTATAGTTTTCCACAAGATCTTTTTCATCCTTCTTATAGACAGGCACTACATTTGCCAATTTCCACTCAGACGGTATGTAGCCTTCCCCTAGAGACCTGTTCAACAGCTTCCATAGTGATGGGAAAATTGTAATGGCGGTTTCCTTTAGGATTCTAGCCGGGATCTCATCCGGACCAGTGGCTTTGTTTGGGTCTAGTGATTTTAGGACAGCCTCAACTTTGTCGACGTGCAACACAATATCGCTAAAGGGGGGTACTGCGGCAGGGAATTTCCCTGCGCCGTTATCTACTTTGTCCTCTTGAGGAACAGAGAACACTGAAGTGAAATAGTTATTAAAAATGTCTGCGATTTCCTCTGGGGTGTCACGGTTGCACGTAGGTTACCAGGTGCCATGGAGACACTTTGTGGTATGTTGCGCGAATTTGAGCCAGTTTTTAATACTGACCAGAGACGTTTGGGATTGATCTTGAACTCGATGTTAGCAGACTCAAAGAACTCATCCCTGCTTTCTCTGATCACGCGCTTTACTTGTGAACGCAGAGTTTGAAATTTGACTTTTAGTGACTCCGACGGGTGCAATTCTTGATACGACTGATAACGGCACCTGTGAGCCAGGGCACGGGGTTTCGACCTCTTAATCGCTTGGTTGGAATATTGTCTTTCACCGTAGCAAGAAATAAGTCTTTCCAGGTCTGCCAGCTAGCTTTCAAGGTCGCCCTCACCCACCACACTTGTAAGATTAACTAAACGCAGAGCGTTTCTAAGGCCGTCAAAGTCTCCTTTTACATAATCATACACAGAACGGTGTGTATTGACATGGGCCTTAACTAAGGTGTGGAACTCGAAGAAGACGGTGCGATGATCCGTGAACAAACCAGCTTTGTCTATTTCTAGGACTTCGGACACGCTTGTTTGGTCTGGAACACTGGTGATAACTAGGTCTAAAACACTGGAGCCACACGTGGCCTTGCGTTGCATTTGAGGTAAATAGTGGTCGTGTAACGCCTCCACAAATACTTGTTCATTGGCACCTCTGGAGGTATCAGGGACGTCCCATGAGATTTTTGGATAATTAAAATCGCCACAGGTTACCATATTGTCAAAGTCCTCGCAAACCCAGTCCAGAAAATTATTGAATAAATTAACCCAACACAAATCCAGATCCGGCGGTCGGTAGAAAGAACAAAATAAAATCTTTCGATCTTGGGGAGTCGTGACCGAAGCCGCTACGACTTCTAGTTCTTGTAGTTGTTCAGGTAGAGGGATTTCGCGTATAGACTACCACCGGCACGATTGTGAGATCGATCTTTCCCGTAAATGATATAATTATCTTTAAGGATCTCAGAATTATCTATGGATTCTTTTAGCCAGGTTTCATTGACGCGGACTACATCCATATCCTCTGAGTACACCAGGTCTTGAAACTGGTGTAGATTGTATTGGTGTGTCAATTAGCCTAATATTATTTATTATTTAGCTTTCGCAGGATTTTTTCGTTATGACGGCGAATTATGCAATATCCGGCGTTCCTAAGCATATTGAATTTCACAGCGATTATATAAGAACTTTTGTACCTCTCTATACCTCGCAGTAAGACAGGTGTTTATAGGGAAGGGAATTACGTCTTTATTAGCACATCCAGGTCTAAGTACTGTCCCGTTGGTATTTTACAAAGGTATTTAGTAGATCTATCTGGTATTGACTTATGTAGTTCTCTCCCCTTTTTTAGATCGCTTGGTTTTCATCGTAGTAGTTCTAGCTATATATACCCTAAGAAGTGCAAAGATGTATTATACTACTTCTAGGGATATTTTAAGGGATACCCACAACCCCAATGATGATGGTCTTCATAGTTTAAGATCCGGTGGCATTACATGTGCGGTACGTAATAGTAGTAACTCGATTCCAGAAAGACTTCTTAAAATACATGGTAGATGGAAATCTCATTCTGCCAAGGATATGTATGTTGAAGAAAGCCTTGAAAACAGGTTACAAGTAACTAAGTATTTTGGTTTGTAATGTGTTATCTACGTATATTAATTCCTGCATACTAGTAATTTTCTGCAGTCCATTCTGTATTAGTCGCTATCTATCTTATAACAAACTGTTTTGGATCCGCTCGCGCATCCTACCATATTTCTTGTGTGATTTGTTTGTATTGCGGGAATTAAAGGGTAAAATGATTTACGTTCGTTTGAGCGAAGCGAATTAGAATGTAATGAAGATAAAAAGAAGAACTGTATTTAAAGGGACTGTCTCAAGATACTGCGCACGTGTGAGTTGTGGTGGTAGCCGATTGTTTTTAAACCAATCAGAAACGAGTTAGTTAAGTTACACGTAAGAAAATTTACAGAATCCAAATTCACTTTCGCGACGCTGGAGTACTTCCGAACGCGTAGTTCGATAATTCCGTGGGATGCCTGTGGCACTCCCACGCCTCTTTCGGCGTGGATTGGACTTCTGGATGGGACACGGATCAGGACCTTAGTAAACTTATTATACCTTGGAATCAGGGATAATCATTGGAACTGTGTTAACTTTGAGACCTTGGAAACACATTGGAATTAATTTTTAACCGTATCAAGAGCATCTTGGAATATTAAACTTTCATCTTGGATTAAAACATTGGAACTTTAGCGAACTTTGTAACCCTGGGTTCGACCCTGGATAAAGCAAGCGCATGTTTTGTTCCATTAAACTAAAACTACAATGTTTATTTCTCTTTGAAAAAGTTACCTGTGGCAACTTACTACCAAGCTATGACGTATCTTTATACATATGGATCCTGTTCAGGTTAATCAGAGAGCATTATGCACATGTTCTCCATTGCTTCCGTTAACATTCCGATTTAAATTACACGGGTAAACCTTCTTTTGATGCAAAATGACTTCTACTATAAATTCATAGGCTATATAGGCTACTATAAATTCAGTCATAACCGCATTAAAGCAACCCATACAGGTAACCTACTCATCGATGCTCATAACATGACACATCTTTCCGGTTTCCCTAATTTTTCTAAATTTAGATAGAACGCCATTACGCTTCCATAGACCAACGCATCCCACGGAAACGACTTTAGGCGTCTTGTTCATATTTATTTAGTAACATTCCCCAGATATGTGTTGCAGTTGATAAGAATAAGATTTACAACCCTGTCCTGCTTTGAAACAAACATTTTGATACCTACGAGTTTTTCTTGGGAAGTTTTTTTACGTACCCCCGCACGCTAATAAACCACTCTCTGATCGCCAAACAAAATTTGTAAACCTGCCTTATATTGCTGATCTCTCTGTTCGCCCAATATAAACTTAGAAATATCTGCAAATAGTGCCTGACCGGCGAGCAAAACACACAGCGAATAAGTACACAGATTATTCTAACAGAACAACGCAAAATTGATCATACATTTCAACTGCTTTTTTAAAATATCGGCAAATGAACAAATTCCTCCACGTTGCGTCGGGTCAGTGTTCCGCAAAACAAACGTCATCGAGTAGAATACACAAAGAAACCAGCTAATAAACATAATATACAGGCAACTACTTATTTCAAAAACGTCAACTGTTAAACATATATCATACAGCAAAGGTACAAGAAACATTTCAAGTGTACCACTTCGGAGATCGCACGGCCTGTTTGGCGTAACTTCAGGCCACAGTCATAAATGGAATATCTGTTAAAACTTTTCATGTTCGATCGATTCTTTTCACAGGACTAACACGACTTCCTGTACAGGAAAATATTGCTGGTTTTTCTCCTTCTGTTCCCAGTCACACGAGGGAGTATATATTATTGTTGCAGACAATCGAAAGTCATGCCGCAGAACAGCCTAAATCGTCGGTGCGTCCACGGCTGTATCGAGGAAACCAATGTTCAACTTTTTTTTATACATTTACCGTTTAAAAACCATCCGGGAAAGGTAGATCGTTGACTGGAGAAACTTAATAGACAGAAATGAAAGCCAGATGACCACATTAAACGCTACATGTACATTTCATCCGTTTTTAGGATTACGGCTAGCAACAACGAATACGGCTTCGTGCACTTCTCAGGAACGACCTCGAATTTCTCGATAACTTGCGTGAAAATACATAATATGTCGTTTAAAACTTTCGAAATGGACCAAATACCTCTTCTACAGTGATATAATAGCTTTTTCAGGCCTCTCAAGGTCGATGGAAGAGGATTTCTTCACCGAAAGTCAACTTTTGATTTCTGGTTCGCCAGACCAAATATCAAAATGCCGCATATGCGCAGAACCGTGTCACAGTCCACAGTTAAGTGTATCAATAACAATATATTTTTATTTGATTTCAACATTGGCATTTTCATTGAAGTTGGAGTGATAAGGCACCTATGTCTCCGAAGAGGATTCTGAATGTCGACATATCGTATTTGCCCGATTGTACAGATTTTAGGCAAGACGCTATGGGAGCGTGCACTTCGGCGTCGGCGTTGTGGATTGTGCACGCAGAGGAATCGTGAGAATGATATTTTTCCGGATACCCTTCTATACAAATACCCTTATTTTTCTCCTTTTGCGTAAGAGACGTCTTAACTTCTTCACCGAAGTCTGCTAGATGCATGACCAGGTGGCGGTAACCCAATTCGATTATAATATATAGCTTTAGCCAGGGCTAAAAGCGAAGCTCCTACTAATTCGAATTTATAGTTGTTTCATGTTCTTCTATGACTAAGAAGATAAGATTTTAAAATTGGTGAGCTGGGCAAGGATTTTCCCTCACCCCCTACATATTGAGCAATATTGAGCATAATGTTACATGGGAATTGAAAAATAAAAGGGCTGAGCCTTACAATAGACAATTTACTACACTGTTCCCTCCAATAAATGAAATATTTGGCTCTTAATTAAGTTGATAGGTACTGTAGTGAGTTACATGTAAAAACAGCTAATCCACAAGACCAGACCGTCAAGGCTCAAAATTCCAGGCAGTCAACGTAATATGTTGGGTCAAGATTTGGCCGGTCAACATTAAGGCCCTGAAAATTGAAATAACTGTATTCCACAAATCACTTAACTTTCGAGCACATTCATGTGACTTTTGAGGAAAAGGCTAAGTAATTTTAGAGAAAAATAATTTGGAAACAGTCCAAGCTAAGAGTGAAATTAATCTTACATCGACTTGATAGCCCTATATGTACACCTAAAAAACAGCATAGCCATAATGGTTCTTGATCACAGTACATTAGGCCTGGAAAACAAATGCTTGGAAAACAAATCAGGCCGAATTTCTTGCGTTGGACAAGTTTACTTTACAAAATCTTGCAAACAAGTCTGGGGACGTGTAAACCAACTTTTATACTTTCTATACATCACATGTGAGGTGAAATAGTACCATGAGGCGCTGTTTTTATCAGACAGACCTCGGACAGACTGCAGTGCAGCTGTATTTCACAACTTTGCCAATACAAATTGCATGCACTCATTCAATATTCAGGACGATCGAAGCACGCGTTAGCGAATCCGTTGAAAAAATTTCCAAAATCACCTCTACGGCGAGCCGGTTCTCACTTTTGACAAGCGCCAAAGTCGACTGTTTAAATTAAGATTAACAGAGTTATAGGCTTCAACATAATGGCTTTATAATGATGTGTAATCTTCAAAAGCGTTTGATACGCGGTGTATTTTGACTACTCCTGCAAGCGATGTTCAGGAGCGAATGAAAACAAACGGCACAGCGATTAAAATTGCAAAAGAGACTAGCAACAATCAATAAAAGGAAAATAATTCCGTGAAACATATACAGAGACAACAATTTTCATTCACGAAAACAAGTATTAAAGTATCTCTGAAAATCCTTGTTTATGTTTTAAGCCGGCTTCCCGGTGTTTGCTTTTTTCAAAGATGAACTCGAGGCAAGAAAATCGCTCAAAGCTTTCTTTTACAGCCACAATTATGACTAAATATTCTTTGGAACGTTTTCTTTCTATTTGCGGCGAGAAAATCTCTAAAGGCTTTTTAAAGTTCTGTAAGCTTATATCAAACCTGATACTCGGTCAGATCATTGTCTCAAAACTTACAAAGGTGCATAAACTAAATAGCCCCATAAACTACGCTCCACTTCATTAAATTAGATATGAAAAACAAACATCAAATACAATAATTACTCAGGCTTACCCTTCGAGATGCACTCAAAACTATCAAGTAAGGTCAGAATCGCTTCAGACTTTTCAACCCTCTTACGCATCAAGCAAGGTGAGAAACGAAAACAATGCCATCCGAAATCGGATTTCCGACTTTGACAAGCGACGTATTTTCAACCAAAAACCCAATAAACAAACTAGCCATGAATAACAGAAGACTCTTGATAGCATCTGAATTTCATTTTGTACATTCAGTGGAAAAAGACAGTTAAAAACATCACAAGTTGACACAAAACTCTGTCAGCTTCAGCTGTCAAAGAAAACAAGTTTCAAGATGCTGCATAAATTTTCTGTATGAACTCACCTGTCAAATTTTGACCAATCAGAGCATAAAAATTGTACGTAGAGCGTGACCAACGCGTGACCTTTGTGAGAAAAGTCAAAAGTAACTGGCATGTCTTCCCTGCCTGTAAAAACTGGCTGAATTTTAGCTTCCGAGGTCAGTTTGAAATCAAAATTTTAATTGTGCGGCACATATAAAAACAACATATTTCATATGAATTAAAAAAATTAAACTTGAGCCTGCGATCATTTGAAAACTAGTAACTTGTCAGCGGATAACTTCAAAAGGATACTCGACCTCGATGGGTCAACACCTGAGCTCGCGATACGGTCAGGTGATACTGGTCAGCGGATACCCTGTTCTGACAGCTGTCAATTGATCACAACATTGATGTGCAATATGTGTGCAATATCAGTCTTCCTGTGCTCCCAGACTAGCTAGAAAGTGTGAGATTGAACATTGGTTTTCCTGTGGTGAGGACGGACGGGCGGGTGGTGTACTGTCACGTGATTACCAAATTTTCTGGGAAGGGTACATTTACTTACCCATGGTGCTCCGCAGGCGCGCTTCGCGCGCCAGAGCTCCGCTATAATAGATAAATTCCGTTCGACGAGATCTCAGTGCCACTTCCTTTATTTCCTCTACAGCAACACTTTCCTTATGTACAGTTAACTCCACACCTTCTCTAGCAACGTAATTAACTAACATCAGTACACTCCCCTATAAATACGTGCTGAAAATGCACAATCTCCAGACCGAGGATAATTCATGTACAACATCGCAACATAACCTAGAAATACGTATCTCGCAACAAACCTCGCGAAACTCGGTTTTTTAGTAGCGCCACGCAAGTTAAGCCCTGTCGGGTGGGGTTAGGAACTGGATGGGTAACCCACCACGAATATCGTAGTGAAGGTCCCTGCTTTGTTCTTTCCCTACTTTGCCTATTATGTGTTGTTATTTTTTAAGAAGCATTGAAAAGCACATTTAGCATTGTTTCAGCCACTGGATTTAGAAAAAAAACACCAAAATGGCATTACAGTTCGCGTGAAAACTATTATAAGCTTACTTCGGGCCATAGTACAGAACTGAAACTTCGATCTATCGACGGGGAATTTAACCGGCAAACTAATAAATTTGGGTTTTACATGGTGTAAAACGAATTCCAAGCTAGATTTCGGGGGAAAAAGACAAGGTTTCGACGGTAAAAAGCCAAACTGAGACGCACTTTGGAGAAACATATCGCGTGACATATAACACGACATAAGCAAACTCGTTTGCGAAGAGAGACACACTGAAAATTGCTCTCGTATCTCGATCTTCGCTCGTATTTTGAAGCTACCATCACAAATTGCTTCAATGTTTTCTGTAAAACTAATTCCAACTAATTCTGAAGCAACTTCGGGACATTCGGAAGCAATTTTCAAACATTCCTGACCGTCGCGAATTGTTAGACTACAAGTAGTCCCCCATTTTTCCTTAGGGATAGTAAGCGAGCGAAACGCGAGCACGCGTGAAAATCACCCCACGCGAGAAAAGGCGACACGCGGCGGGGAGAGAGAAAAATGAGCCATTTTTCTCTCTCCCTGCCGCGTGTCGCCTTTTCTCGCGTGGGGTGATTTTCACGCGCCCTCGCGTTTCGCTCGCTCTACTATTCCTGAGGAAAAATGGGGGACTACTCGTAGTCTACGAATTGTTTACTTCGCGCTTCGCCAAAGTAACAAGCCAAAAAGTCACGACCTTGTGTGTCCAATCTTGTCCCGAAACTAGTGCATAATTTCATAGCTATTTTTCATTTTTCAAACTACCTTGGGTCACAGTGGCGCAATCAGCTAATTCCTCAACTTAGAGTCTCCTCTGATCTGACGGGCCGCACAGGTAAGTCAGTTCAAACCCCGGGCAAGCTAAGATAATAATAATCTTTCTTCCTCGAATAAGTTAAAGAATAGATCAAAGAGATCGAAGTGATCTCGAACTAATTCGGCTCTCACTTCGTCAAACAGCCGAATAAATCCGAAAACCTACAGACTTTGTGTGCCCAATCTTGTCCCCATAAAAGCAACTTTGGGACATTCCTAAGTGTTGCGAATCCTTTGCTTCGCGCTCCGCTGAAGTAAAAATAAGAACCTGTTTCAAATTTTAGGCTTAACAGGTTATTAATTCTTATATAGAGAGGGCAAAACTGGCAAATTTTAGCTTAAGAGGTACTTAAAATCCAGGCTCTTAGTCACGGGGTTTTACTGTACTACAATACCAGTCACAATTCCTAAAAACACTATGTGAAAGACCCCCATTTAGAGCATCCATTTGGTGACAGGAACAACACTTAGCCTACAGTAATTAGAAGCTCAATTGACAGGTTTTGGTTTGACGGTAAACATGATTAGCTTAGGTCACTGTTTTCAACTTGCTTAAGGCCGCGGGTGACACAGATCCCTGAATAAATTCATGCGGTAAAATCTTGCTTGTGCCACATCTTTTAAAACGCTTACATCTCGGTCGTTTTAGAAGCGATTTAGACAAAATTTTACAGAGCCATTGTGAAATGATGGAAGTTTAGGAGGGGTGTTTTTTATTTAGTTGACCGCGCTTTACAGCGATGCTTTAAGCCACAGTTGAACCAACATGGGAAATAGTAATTTTGTGTCCAAGTTTGCAGAAAGAAAAGAAGACAGCACTCTGTGATTTTACTAATAAATGATCGGTCAAAAACTCTAGTGTGTCATGTATAGAGCAGATTTTATAATAGTTTGCCAGCAAGATATAATCGCTTAAATGAGCAAAACCTGTCATCCCTGACATTAACGCCTTATATCATTTTTTTTTATAAAATAACTAAGATAGTACCCGAGCTCTGATTAGCCGAGAGGCGTGTTTGCATGAAAGTATGTAAACAGGGTTGTGACATCAAGATGTTTTGCTTTTCGCGCGCTAATCTTCAAGCACCAATTTCAAAACGTTTTTGAGTTAAAAACTTGACAAGTTTACTTTATTTATCCATTCCCTCGTCCGCTATAACTTGGAAAATCTTTACAAACATGCTTTGTCAATTCTTTTTTTCGCGTGAACATTTTATCGAGAAAAATCCGTATTTTGGAAAGCATCTTTTTGGCAAAACAAGAACTGATCACGGGTGCAACACTTCGTGTACAAGACTTCGCGGCTGGTAAGAATTTTTCTTTTAATCACTGCCATAACAAAGAGTGTTGCGATTTTTCTCGGGAAAGTTAATTTAAACAAGAAATAGAAAACTTTTTCCTTGTATTTGCATAGCCTGATATAAACACTAGAGGGGCTGGAAGAATTCTCGACAGTTATGCCGTCCCTCGACTTTGTCTCGGGTTTGCATTACTGTCGAATTCTCCCAACCCCTCTCGTGTTGATATCAGGCTGTGCAAACACGGAAAACGTTTTCTATTGCTTAAACAAAAACGCTTTTTTAGAATTCCGCTCAATACAAAACACACT